GGAGGGCGTGGCCAGCAAGAGGAAGCCACAGATTGGACGTCAACTTCAGGCAAGTTGCACTTCATGGACAGTAAGTACTGTCCCACCTTTTCGGCTGTACTCTGTTTAGGCACATCTTGCACGATCTTGGTCAAAAGTTCTGCCTTTTCCACTTCAATCTTGGCCTTGAGCAATTTTCTCCGCATTTGGATTCGTTTTGTTTCCAATTCACGTTCAGCGTCCATCAACTCCTGTTCCTCTTGGAGTTGCTTGACCTTTAATTGAGCCATTAGCAAACTTCGGCGTCCACTAGTTCCACTCTTATTGCTTGAAACGTCGTTACGTTGACTTGCTAGGTTTGTACGACGGCCGATTGGATCGATTCCGCTGTTCGGTGAGAGATCGCCGATGTGCATATCGTTGAGTAGGAAGGTGGGCTATGCTCGCCGATGCTGGATAAGTAAATTGAGGTCTTCTTGGCTCTCGCCATATAGGAACTGTTCAATTATAAAACAATTTCCATGTTTTTAAAAGACTTTACAGGGATATGTCTTTCTACGTCGTCCTGTCACATATTTTTGAATTCCGTACGACCTCTAAGTATAAAACGCAGCTTCACTTATACTGTATCACAAAATTATGGAACAGCTTTAGCCTTTTTGTCTGATATATCAGAAACTTATTCATTGACAATAAAGACATTTAAAAGTAAAATTAAAATGCTCACAAGCGGCAATTGATTAATTAATGATAACGAGTGTATTTTTTTCTTTCTAATTTATCTTCTCTTACTTGCCGGCGAACTGATTATTTCAGCATACGAGTACTGATCCCCGATTTATACCATCCTTTCATTTATTGATTGACTGGTTTAAATAAAAGCATTATTATTATTGTTATCATATTGGATAGAAAGATTCCCAGTATAGTTTTCAATTTTAAGAAATTTTCGGTTTAACGTTTCCATCCTGATTTCAAAGCGTTTGCATGTGATTTTTAAATAAATGTGACCGGTCAACTAAAATATTAAATTTCAGAAAGAAAGATTCCCAGTATAGTTTTCTATTTTAAGAAATTTTCGGTTTAACGTTTCCATCCTGATTTCAAAGCGTTTGCATGAGATTTTTAAATAAATGTGACCGGTCAACTAAAATATTAAATTTCATCATTTTATCATTAATATTATTGATATTCACCTAAATTCTGAATATATTACCACCGCATTCTTCTTAGGCATACAAAATAACTTGATAATTTTTGAGCTGCAACCYTCGTTGAAAGCKAAAAAAGTACACCCAAACATGGATAACTTTTCATTCTGGTCGCAGTGTAACTTATTGCCGTAATATGGAGCGAAGTATGGGATAGGYTTCCTTCTTCTTACAGTYTCTTGTCGTCGTCTGTTGTGATCGTCAGYTTTGACACGCTGAAGTGATTTYGCTACCTGATAGCCGCTTAGATTATAGCCTTTGCTTTGAATGTATCCTGTCAGCATCTTTCGACCGTAAGTTGGACCAACCTATTGGTTTTAAAGTATGTAGCCATATACTTTAGTCTTGTATATTACAATAAKAAWTTCAAATTCTCATGCAGTGATGAARGAAATATAAATTACTAAACTTTTACCTCTTCAATGTTTTGRTGCACTATAGCGTCAATCTCCGATTCATTTCTTCTTCTTATGGAATATTTTGTACAAAAGAGACGTATGTTTCGTGCGGAAGTAGTATAGAGTCAGCAGCACGGACCCCCTTTTTTGTGGGATTTGTGGAAAAAATCTGTGTGCTCATGAATATTTGTGGGCTAATATATTCAATATTTTTGTGGGCTATTATATATTCATTTTTGTGGGCCTTTCACTTAATCTCCGAACAATAGTCCTTTTGTTCTCTATTGTTTTGCGCAAGCGGCTATTTATTGCTTCAATCTGGGCTGTTATAGTCACTCTGCGCTCTGACTGACTTGAAAATAATATATTTCTTGTGGAAGATTTTTGCTGCAATGAATAGAATTCAGATTGACGAAGTTGAAATGMSTGAACGTGCTTTCCTGSTGGAGCTGATATCAACGGTCTTACAACTCTCTTATGCTTCTTTTTGCGAGTATCAAATTTGGGAACTGATAAATTCTGAGTGTGAAGGCTGCAAACTTCAACTGCCAGCCCTAAGAGATCATATTTGTATGATGACTGAAAATGAAGAAGCATTTTTAAGCATTTTTAAGCATTTTTAGAGGTTAAAACCTCTATTACGACGATGCCATGCAGTTAGTGGACTCCAATCGAGTGTGGGAATTAGCCAGTGAAGTATGTGAGCAATATCTTGATTTTAAAATTCACCCGTCGTGGCAAATTTATACTCCTGAATTTTACAAGCTGCCTTGGACAACGGTCTATTTGAGCATTCTTCAGTTTGAACTTTGCGCTGACCAAACGATCAAATCCTTGATGTTCTGATCAAAGGTCCACTGAGAATCAATCGCAAGAAAAGAACTATATTGAAAGCTTCAAAGATTTCATGTCCGGAAGAGTTTCGTCGCAAAGATGAAGAGCGCATGGATCAGAATTAATCATTAGCATTGTAAATTTACTCAACCGTTTTTATAAAAAACAATAAATCTTATTGTAAACAGTCATTCAGTCTCTTGACTTGTTGGGGTTAACATGGGAGCGATTCACACAAAATTCTATTTCAATGTATTACGATTCATTGCTACTAGAATCCGTTTTGAAGCAAATTTTGAACAATTGAAGTTGAAATTTGAATGTCATTCAAAGAATCGAGTGAATGATTAAAAACAGATGTATGACTATGGTCAGATGAAAAGTAATATCGGTAGAATTCTGGCCT